GGAGGTGGAAAAAAAAAAACCAAAATATTTTCTCATGCTTTCACATTGAACACACAAAAGAGTGTGATGAGAAGTGTGTTGTATGGTTTGGTGTTCCCACGTTGTATTCGGTTATATGTTTCGAGGATACCCATCCCTCTATTCCTTCGTTGCACTCCCCATGTTCACAACTAAACCCCATTAAAAAACTTATTGTGAGAAGGGTCTTTTAAATTAGCCGATTTGAGCAATCAAATTGCATAGCAAAATGTCTACAATACCTCATCGTTTCTTATCCCTTTTTTTCCCCCTTTATTCTGCTTCACTTTTTTTTTTTTTTGCTCTTTATACTTTTAATTGATCAGAAAAAATTGAAACAAAATGTTTTCACAACGTCTTTTTTTTTCACTTTTTTTTAACTCTATTGTTTCCCTGTTTTTTTGTCTCATCTTTTAATCTAACAATTTAATTTTATTTATAAATAAAAATTATTACTTTGTCTGTTTATCATTTTTTATGCCTCTTCTTTCACCCTCCTCTCTCTTCCTCAGAATTTTTTGTTGTTTATTTGGTCTCACAATTACCAATTAACTTTTTGTACAGGAAATAAAAAATTTAACGACAACTGCTTCTCGGTTAAGAGACCAACATTAGCAACAAATAGACCAACAAATAAATGAACTGATCTACCAACTTGATAAATGTTCAGCTGATGTCATTAAGTTGTTATTTATTTGCTGTCTATGGCGGTGTAAAGATATAGTTGGTAAAGATAGACAGAAATAGATGGGAAAGGTAAATTACAGCTCTGTAAAACACTTAAAAATAAGTAAAGAAGAAAGGAATAACTGAGTTTATGAAGTACCAAAAATTGTTCGGTAATCCCAGAAACTTCTTAATGTTGACCACTTCCACATGCAGCCTAAAACTGTTTTGTTTCTTAGACAGCATTGAATAGCGGGTAATTTGGTGGTCATCTACGAATAATAACATGTTCTTTATACAGTTCAAATATGTTGGACAATATCCGTCAACAATCCAGTACCGCTTTTTAGCAAACACTTCTAATCTATATTTGTCTTTTATGGTAACGGAAATAGCCGCTAATGTATTCACAAAATAATCAGTTGAATTTCACCGAAAAAAAACCTTTATAGTTTCCTACCTATACAGTGTTGTTTATCATATAGTGATGACCCCCCTCCTGCCCCGTAAAACATACATCATTAGTTGATCAAAAGTTTTTCTACAACAAAATTTGTCGGCAGTAACTCATTTGTTTCTCATCTACCAATACAGTTGTAAATTGTCTTTTTCCTTTTTCACTAAAAGTTTAGCCTCAACAGGGTTGTTTTCTTAAGTTGACCATTAACATTGTCTTTGTAAAGATGCCGAGAAAAATGTAACCTTTTTTATATGTACATCAAAAAAAAATTCTTCAATTGTTTCAATATCTTACAACTTTCCTTTCTCCGTTACTGTAGTTGAGAAAAAAAAAAAAAAGAAGAGAAGGAAACACAAAAAGTTGTTAAATTGGTTGATAGGTTGACAGTGTTTATGCAAAAATTTTGGGCACAGTAAATGATACAACTAACCATCCAATTGTTCAGTGGCCTGTGATAAGCTGTTTGAGAAGTATATAATGAACAAATTTTTTTGACCACTTGCACAAGGCTTTTTGTTCTGTCATTTATTGTAGCAAAAAAAAACTAAAGAATATCAAAAAATAATCTTTTCTTTCACTTCTCCATTTTCATATTAAAACAAAAAGTTTTTTTCTTTTTTTTTTTTCAAATTATACAACTGTTGTAACACTAATAATTTTGAATTTTTTTTTCTATCTTTTATCGTTCTTTTTTTTTTTTTCTTACCACTTCTATTAATTGTTAACGACGAATTGTTAAAGTATAAATGTTTTTTTTTTTGTAGATTCCAGAAAAAAATTCTTTAAATGG